ATGATTTTCTCTCAACTCCCCTGTGTTTTAACTTCCATTCTGTCAGGGCTAGCCTGGCTTAGGGATTTGGATTGGTTTCCAAATGCAACCAAGACAGGAAATCCACTGGTCCAAGGCACAGTGATGAATTCATGTCAAAAACAGGATGCAAGGGGGAGGGGGCAGAAGGCAAGAGAGAGAGAGTGAGACGAAGAAGTGTTTCCATCTGAGACAGAAAAGAGGCAGGAGGAGGAGGCACAGACGGGAGGACTAACATGCTGAAGACTGGGGTGGGGGCAGGGGCGGGGGTGGGGCAGGTTATCAACTGTGAATCACAGGTCACAGTGAACCCAACATCGATTTAAAATATTCACATATAATGTAAATACAAAGCACCCAAACTCAGCGATGGTTATAGAATTGAGTAATAATTTCAGACACTTAAGAAGTATATGAAAATGAAAAGGTGTTAGTGTTCCAGAGATAGAGGCCAGAGGGCAGGGAAGTTAAGGAAGGGGTGATGATCAGGACACTCACTTGGAAACACAGGGTAACAGTTGGATGAAAAAGGAAAAAAAAGAGGAATGTGAGCGTACCTCTGACTTTTACTGTGGTCACCGTGAGATGAATTAAAGACATGGGAAATTATGTCGGAAAGATGAGAGGGTGGGGAGAAAGCAGCAGAGGTGGACCTGAGTGACTCTCTCATGAATCATAACTGGAAGAGAGTGCCTGTCAGTTGGGGTTGTCTACTGGGCATCCCAGGTGGATCAGTGGTAAAGAACCTGCCTGCCAATGCAGGAGATGTGGGTTTGACCCCTGGGACAGGAAGGTCCCTTAAAGGAGGAAATGGCAACCCACTCCAGTATTCTTGCCTGGGAAACCCCATGCACAGAGGAACCTGGCAGGTTACAGTCCATGGGGCTACAAAAGGGTCAGACATGACTGAATGACTAAACAACAAGAAAATTCTATACAATGTGATATCAGACATGCCATTCTCATGGCTTAAGTCTGTGTCCTTACACTATTTTAAACTCTGTATGTTTTCTCCTATTATGTTACAGTTGCTTAAAAAGTCAGATTTTTTTAAAACCAGTGTGGAATTTTTTTTTTTTTTTTAATGTAAGGTATGTGGGCTGGATTCCAAATGTCCTGCTGTTGTGAAAGAGGGGAGTGCTCCTTACTACTAAATCCCTAATGACTATTTTAGATGTCTTATTTTTTAAAATTTAGACTTTCATTTACTGGCTGCTTCAATTTGAGCTATTTTCTTTTCATTTTATTGAAGTATAGTTGATTTACAGCGTTGAGATAATCTCTTCTGTACTGCAAAGCTCAGATATACATATATATTGATATATTCTTTTCAATGACAGTTTATCACAAGATATTGATTATAGTTCCCTGTGCTATACAGTAGGATCTTGTTGTTTATCTATAGATAAACAAACTATTGAATAGTTTGAATGTGCTAATCCCAAACTCCCAATCCTTCCTTCTCCCCCTCCCTTGGCCATCATAAGTCTGGTCTCTATATCTATGAGTCTCTCTGTGTTTCATAGATAGGTTCATGTGGCTTGTATTTTAGATTCCACATGTAAGTGATGTCATATGGTATTTGTCTTTCTCTTTCTGACTTACTTCACTAAGATAAGCTCTAGGTCCATTCTGCTGCAAGGGGCATTGTTTCATTTTCCATGGCTGAGTTTCATTCCACTGTTTGCATGTATGAATATATATGTATGTGTGTGTGTGTATATATATATATGTTGTTGTTGTTTAGTCACTCAGTTGTGTCTGACTCTTTTGTGGCCCCATGGACTATAGCCTGCCAGGCTCCTCTGTCCATGGGGTTACCCAGGTGAGAATACTGGTGTGGGTTGCCATTCCCTTCTCCAGGTCCCTTCCTGACCCAGAGATTGGACTGGGAACTCCTGCACTGCAGGCAGATTCTTTACGTCTAAGCCTCCAGGGAAGCCCTCATCATATTGTTGAAGCATTTAAACTTTTTTGCTCTTGGGGCAAATAATCTTGTCCTCTATCCTCCTAGGTTCTCTGTCTGGAGCCTGCAAAGAAGACACATGAAGCGTAGATGAACAAAAGAAAGAACTACATCTAAAACTAGCCTTCGGTTTACATTTCCTGAGGAATGAGGCAGGTGAGGTCTAGGCTAGATATTTATAACTAGACTTCTGTTTGCTCTTGGAGATGGGAATGACAGGAACAGGGTAAATAGCTAGACTTTGCCTGCTGTGGACACGTTACTATAACAGTCATGGCAGGGACAGAGAGGGGCTAAACCCTGTGTGTGTAAAAGATCAAGAGGTCACATATTTTCTATCTTTAGGGCACCGCACATGTGCAGAGAGTCTCCTTGGAGGACAAAAAGGAGGAGGTGCCCTGTCATAGTCGGTGATGTCCGGGCCCCCACAGCCCTGTGTGCTGGAATCCATCTAGGAAAAAAGCTGCCCACACCTGTCAGGGAGGGTCCTAGGGCAGGTCAGGTAATTAGCGAAAGGCAGACAAAGATGGAAAGAACTGCCCTGTATAGATGATTTAACAGTCTTTTTATTTATTTCTTTCTTCATTTATTTTTGTTAGTTGGAGGCTAATTACTTTACAATATTGTAGTGGTTTTTGCCATACATTGACATGAATCAGCCATGGATTTACGTAAGTTCCCCATCCTGAACACCCCTCCCACCTCCCTCCCCATCCCATCCCCCTGGGTCATCCCAGTGCACCGGCCCCAAGCACTTGTCTCATGCATCAAACCTGGACTGGTGATCGGTTTCACCCTTGATAAGATACATGTTTCAACACTATTCTCTCAGATCATCCCTCCCTCGCCTTCTCCCATAGAGTCCAAAAGTCTGTTCCATACATCTGTGTCTCTCTTTCTGTTTTGTATATAGGGTTATCATTACCATCTTTCTAAATTCCATATATATGGGTGAGTATACTGTATTGGTGTTTATCTTTCTGGCTTGCTTCACTCTGTATAATGGGCTCCAGTTTCATCCATCTCATTAGAACTGACTTAACAGTCTCTTTACGGGGCTCCTCCTCCTTCAGGAGGACGCCCACAGCCTTCCTCTTGGGTGTGAACTCTGCCTGTCTTCTGTCTTAACTAAACAAATTGTTTCCTCTGTGTGCTCCCCCAAAACTGTGCTGTGTCTCCAGTGATGCACTTTTACTATATTTTTAGTTTTTGCCTCCTGGAGAAATGCTTCCCCCCCCCCCCTTTTTACTGGGGACTAGAGCAAGGAGAACCGTGTTTCTAGTTTCTAGCCCCCGATGGACTGGCGACTAGGAGTCTTGGTTTTCATCCAGGCTACTCGAAGCCCAATTCTTGGGCAGAGAACTAAGCCAGTGCTCACGGCTGTCTCTCTCTCCCTCCGAGATCATTTGGGGCTGAAACCCAGGATTTCAAGGTAAACTGCAGGTCTCCCAAACTACTGGCTGGAGGCTTCTGACTCTCTCTCTCCCAGGAGAACTTTCTCTCACTCTCTGCTTTGTTCTCTTTCCAAGACCTGCAGGGCTTAATCTAGGTCCGCTCAGTGAAGGAGCCCTAGTTATCTTTTTCCTGCCCTTCTCCCTATTTCTCTCATTCTGCCTAAACGACAACCCCTGGCCTGTCCCTCACCCAAGCAGAGCTTCCTCATCAACTTTGGGAGAACTGCACCTGGAGTCAAGGCTCAGAACCTACTACAACCACCAGCAAATTGCTCCCTCTTTGTTGTTTTGTTGTTTAGTTGCTAAGTCATGTGCGACTCTTTTTAACCCTGTGGACTGTAGCCCGCCAGGCTCCTCTGTCCATGGGATTCTCCAGGCAAGGATACTGGAGTGGGTTTCCATTCCCTTCTCCGGGGCATCTTCCCCAAGCAGGAATCGAACCTGGGTCTCCTGTACTTCAGGCAGATTCTTTACTTTCTGATTCCCCAGGGAAGCTCAACCTGGGAGGATTCCCTTTAAAAGCCAGATGGGCCAAGAAAAGGAAAACTCAGGTTTGCTTTAACAATGTCTGGCCTTTATTTAAGTTGGGAGTTGGAACGTGGCCTAAAACTTTGTCTCTAGATTATAATACTATCTTACAATTAGATCTTTGTTGCCACAAAATGGGAAAATGGACAGATGTTAACTCTCCTGGCATTCTAAATGACCCTTTTCTAACTTCTCCCAGCTCTCAGGGGGAACCCAAGCTTCCCTCACACCTGTTGTTGTTGTTTAGTCTCTCAGTCTTGTCTGACTCTTCGCAATCCCCTTGACTGTAGCCTGCCAGGCTCCAGGATCTGTTACTGCTTCAGATTCTGTAATATTAAGACACTGTATTTGTAAAAAGAAAAATTGCTAACCATCATATGACAACATACGGTTGCCACAGGCATACTTTTTTTTTTTTTAAGGCTGTATATTGAGGCACAATAAGTGGATGTATGTTTGTGCTTGTACATGTACATTTGAGCAGTTAAGGGAGAGACAGAAAGTGTTTCCTGAGTCTGCGGGTCTTAATTGCCTTCAGCTCAAGACAATCCAGGGGTTTCCCAGGGGTCTCAGTGGTGGAGTCCACCTGCCTCTGCAGGAGACACAGGAGACTCAGGTTTGATCCCTGGATCGGGAAGATCCCCTGGAAGAGATCATGGCAACACACTCCAGCATTCTTGCCTGCAGAATCCCACGACAGGGGAGCCTGGCGGGCTGCAGTCCACGGAGTCTCAAGGAGTCAGACAGGACTGAGCACAGACACACACCAAACAACTCATGTTCCAAGTGGTGCATTTTGGGGGAGACCTAATCCTCTCCACCTCACTTCTCTTTCAAAAGCCTTTCCAGTAACTTCGAAACATCTTGAAAGATTTCTTTGTGTTTGAAGAAACCAAAGCTCAGAGATGGAGACCTTGTCCCAAGTGTCCTTTTACCACCTGCCCCTCATCACTGCACTGCTCCGTGGAATTGGACTCCCAGGGCCAAGGGCAGGTGGGCCTTGCTGACGGCTTCATGTCTTGTTTCCTCAGCAGATCACAGCTCCTCAACTCCATCTAGGGTGCGGTGTCAGAATCTCTACCAGTTCGGTCAGAAGCTGGTCCGCAGGCGGCCGCTGGAGCCCACTGAGGATTCTAAGAGTCCCACGGCTCCTCTGAACATCTTGAAGCTGGTGGCCTTCGGTGTGGCCAGCACCCTGGGGGCTGGCGTATACATTCTGGTGGGAGAAGTGGCCATGTTCATTGCTGGACCAGCGATCATCATCTCCTTCTTGGTGGCAGCCCTGTCTTCTGTATTGTCTGGGCTCTGCTATGCCGAATTTGGGACACAGGTCTCATGGACTGGTTCTGCGTATCTCTACAGCTACATCACCATGGGAGAATTGTGGGCATTCACCACTGCCTGGAACCTCATACTGTCCTATGTCGTTGGTGAGGGGATGGGTGGGGGGTAGGTGTGGGGCTGAAGCTCGGGAGACCAGGAGCAGGCATTTGGGTCTTCGATCATGCATGAGAACTTGGTCATCCACTCTGTGAGGGGAGGAGGGGAATAACGTAAGGAAAAGTCCACAACTTCATTCTTTTTGGCTCTTCCCTGCTTTCCTTAAGAGATGGACCAAGAACCCAGATGGAAAGGGAACCATGGGGAGTGGGTGAGAGGGAGGCATGGCCCACAGGCTCATCCCCTCACTATACTGAAGTCTCTGCTGAGCGGTTGCCTTCAGAGTTTCCATTAGCATTTGAACTAAAATTTTAATCCTCATTGCCCAGACAACTTGCTCCCACTTCCCTCATTTCTTGTATAACTTTGATCTCCCACAAACATTAAATAGTTGACCTATTTTAGAATTATCTGGGTCTATTTTCCCCACCCCATGAAAAGAAACTCTTTGAGATTTGGTATGTTGTATTTTTTCCCCAATATACATGACTTTGTGTATTTGTTGTTGCTCGGTCACTAAATTGTGTCCGAGTCTTTGCAACCCCGTGGGCTATAGCACACCAGGCTCCTCTGTCCTCCACTATCTTCTGGAGTTTGCTTAAGCTCATGTTCACTGAGTTGGTGATGCTGTCCAACCATCTCATCCTCTGAGGCCCCCTTCTCCTTTTACCTTCAATCTTTCCCATGTTGGACACCTTCTGACCTGGGGGGCTCTTCTTCTGGCATTATAACTTTTTGCCTTTTCATGCTGTCCTTGGGATCCTCCTGGCAAGAACACTGGAGTGGGTTGACATTTCCTTCTCCAGTGGCCCAGGTTTTGTCAGAACTCTTCACTGTGACCCATTTGTCTTGAGTGGTCCTGCATGGCATGGCTCACAGTTTTATTGAACTATGCTAGCCCATCACCACGACAAGGCTGTGATCCACGAAGAGGTCTTGGTGTGTAGGTGGGTGCAATTTATATTTGTCAATGAACGTTCCTTATTATTCTGCTGCAGGCACGGGCAGTGTGGCCAGGGCCTGGAGTGTCGCCTTTGGCAGCCTGACTGGGAACCACATCTTTCAGGCCTTAGAGGGAACTTTCTCTCCATATATGCCCTACTACCTGGCCAAGTATCCAGACTTTGTCGCCCTGTCCCTGGTTCTGTTGCTCACAGGTGAGACAGGGATCCAAGTTAGAATGGGAAGACTGGGATGTGGGGCAGCGGGGGAACTAGGGTGGGAAAGGCTTGAGGTGGCAGAATTGTGGGAACTACAAACTAGGGTCTGTGATAGACAGAAAGTGGAGACATAGATGGTTGTTTCCCACCCTTGGCATTACTGACCTTCTAGGCTGAAACAGCCTTTGGTGTTGGGGGCTGTCCTATGCACTGCAGGATTGTCTTAGGATTTTCTTTGTCAGTTATGTAGTCTCCTTGAACTTTATTCACTAAACACCTGTGACTCATATCTCCCAAACTGTGACAATCAGGATGTCTCCAGACATTGCCAAATGTCCCCTGGGGACCCAAATCACCCCCAGCTGAGAATCATTTATTTAGGAATGACAAGTTTCTTCCTCTGCATTGAGACTTTTTTTCAATGGGGAGGAAATTAGCATAGCATAAAATAAGCCATTTTATTATTTTTCCTTAGCCTTATTGATATATAACTGACATACAACATTATATCAACTCAAGGTGAACATCATGATGATTTGAGAGATGTGTATATTATGTGACTGGAGTAGAAAATGGCAACCCACTCCAGTAATCGTGCCTGGAAAATTCCATGGACAGAGGAGCCTGGCAGGCTACAGTCCACGGGGTCTCAAAGGGTCAGAGTGACTGAGCCCATATTATATGATAATGGCCACAGTAAGAAACTAACCATGTTAAAGTATGCAATTCAGTGATACTTAGGACATTCAAGATGTATAATGATCACCTTCTTCTAGCTTCAGGCATTTTCATCACAGCAAAAGGAAACCCGGTACCCACTGAGCAATGACAGTCCATCCATCCTAATCTAGTTCAGTTCAGTCACTCAGTCGTGTCCGACTCTTTGTGACCCCATGAATCGCAGCACACCAGGCCTCCCTGTCCATCACCAACTCCCGGAGTTTACTCAAACTCATACCCATCGAGTCAGTGATGCCATCCAGCCATCTCATCCTCTGTCATCCCCTTCTCCTCCTGCCCCCAATCCCTCCCAGCATCAGGGCCTTTTCCAATGAGTCAACTCTTCGCATGAGGTGGCCGAAGTATTGGAGTTTCAGCTTCAGCATCAGTCCCTCCAATGAACACCCAGGACTGATCTCGTTTAGGATGGACTGGTTGGATTTCCTTGCAGCCCAAGGGACTCTCAAGAGTCTTCTCCAACACCATAGTTCAAAAGCATCAATTTTTCGGTGCTCATCTTTCCTCACAGTCCAATCTCACAGCCCTCTAACTCCTGGCAACCACTAGTCTGCTTTCTGTGTCTGTGTATTTGATTTGGTTATCTTGAAATGTCTCACATTCCATCTTTCCCACAGGAGTACTGGTTCTGGGAGCTCGTGAGTCAGTCCTGGTTGGAAAAATATCCACAGGCATCAACTTTTTGGTCCTCAGCTTCATCATCATCTCTGGCTTCATTAAGGGAGACCTGCACAACTGGGAGCTCACGGAACAGGACTACACATTGAACACGTCTGAATCTGGTGACATCTCTAGGTCAGGAGGGTGCTCCTGGTCCTTGTCATGCTTGTGGGGGCTGGTGCAGAGCTGGGAATCTGGCGGGGTCTAAAGAGATCTGGGCTGGTGGATCCGGATAACAAGGTCGTGGAGCCCAGGGCTTGAAGTATTAACTGTGAAGGCCGGTAGGGATGACTGAACACACCTCCCTCATGGTCTTTCTTGCTTCTTCTCTCACTGTAGCTTGGGCCCTCTGGGTTCTGGAGGGTTTGTGCCCTTCCACTATGATGGAATTCTCCATGGAGCAGCTCTATGTTTCTACTCGTTCGTGGGTTTTGATGACATTGTCACTAAAGGTAACAGGGCCACTGTGTGTCCCATCAGGGGATTGGGCTGTCCTTGGCCATAGGGGTTGATAGAAGATTTTTAACCCTCTGAACTTCAAGAAGAGAGTGGATTTTGTGCTGTGCCATCTGTGTTTTCCTAACCCGAGATGTTCACCCACCCTGCAGGGGAAGAAGCCCCAAATCCTCACCGCTCCATCCCCATCAGCATCGTGACTACAGTCTTCATCTGCTTTTTGGCGTATTTTGGTGTCTCGGCGACTCTCACCCTCATGGTGCCCTACTACAAGATTCAGCCTGACAGCCCCTTTCCACAGGCTTTCCTCCATGTTGGGTGGGGCCCTGCCAGATATATTGTGGCTGTTGGCATCCTCTGTTTTCTTTTATACAGGTCAGTGTCAAGGGTTTCTCTCCGCGAACTGTCAGATGCTCAGGTGTTTCAGCCCTTGGGATTGAGAGATGAGAGATAGACCAGGGAGTCAGAGCCCTGGTCTCTCCTGCTTCTCAACATCCCCACCCGTGTTCCCACCGTGCCTTCCAGACTGCAGAGCTCCTTGTTCCCCGTGCCTCAGGTGATCCAGGAAATGGCCAAGGATGGGCTCCTTTTCCGAGGACTTGCCCAGACCCATGCCCGCACGAAGACGCCCATCATGGCCACCGTGTCCTCTGGAATTCTCGCAGGTGAGCCTCAGAACCCACTTCTCCTTGGATACTATCCTTATCTGGATACGCCCAGTGGTTTCTCACTGCCGGCCCCCACCTCATTCGCGCCCTCATTCTAGGGATCATGGCGTTGCTCTTTGAGTTCAGTAATCTGGTGGACCTCATGTCGATTGGACACCTGCTGGTTTACTCCTTGGTGGCGTTTTTTGTCCTTGTCCTCAGGTGAGACTTCACTGCACCCTGACTGGGGCTCTTACGTTCCTAAAGACTGAGTGGCAATTCATCCTCTTCAGCTTTTTTTTTTTTTAATTTATTTATTTTAATTAGACGCTAATTACTTTACAATATTGTAATGTTTTTGCCACACACTGACATGAATCTACCATGGGTGTATATGTTTTTCCCATCCTGAACCCCTCTCCCACCTCCCTCCCCATCCCATCCCTCCGGGTCATCCCAGTGCACCAGCCCTGGGCACCCTGTCTCATGCATCGAACCTCGACTGGTGATCTGTTTCATATATGATAATATACATGTTTCAATGCTCTTCTCTCAGATCATCTGACCCTCGCCTTTTCCCAGAGTCCAAAATACTGTTCTATACATCTGTGTCTCTTTTGCTTTCTCGCATGAAGGGTTATCCTTAATATCTTCCTAAATTCCATATACATGCGCTAGTATACTGTATTGGTACTTTTCTTTCTGGCTTATTTCACTCTGTATAATAAGCTTCAGCTTCACCCACCTCATTAGAACTGATTCAAATGTATTCTATTTAATGGCTGAGTAACATGCCATTGTGTATATATACCACAGCTTTCTTATCCATTCGTCTGCTGATGGACATCTAGGTTGCTTCCATGTCCTGGTTATTATAGACAGTGCTGCAATGAACACTGGGGTACATGTGTCTCTTTCAATTCTGGTTTCCTTGGTGTGTATGCCCAGCAGTGGGATTTCTGGGTCATATGGCAGTTCTATATCCAGGTTTTTAAGGAATCTCCACACTGTTCTCCATAGTAGCTGTACTAGTTTGCATTCCCACCAACAGTGTAAGAGGGTTCCCTTTTCTCTGCACCTTCTCCAGCATTTATTGTTTAATTTTTGGATAGCAGCCAATCTGACCTGCATGAGATGGTACTTCAATGTGGTGTTGATTAGCATTTCTCTGATAATGAGTGATGTTGTGCATCTGTGCATGTGTTTGTTAGCACTCTGTATGTCTTCTTTGGAGAAATGTCTGTTTAGTGCTTTGGCCCATTTTTTGATTGGGTCATTTATTTTTCTGGAACTGAGCCATAGGAGTTGCTTGTATATTTTTGAGATTAA